GTGTAGAACACTAGGGAGACATTATCTTTCCTGATCAGGGGCTGAATAGTTGTTCCGTCCCATGGCGGGATGTCTATCGATTACCATTCTGGCAACACGTGAAGGAGTAACCTGGTCACCCGGAGGCGCTAAAGGGATCCATTGGTCCTCCCCCCCCCCCCCCCCTGATGCGGGAGACCCTCTCAGCCGAGAAATTGGCCTTGGATCAACCCAGGGGATTTATTGGCGTAAAAGTATCACTAATTGCCGCAGGGGTTCAATGATTGGAAAAAAACACTCAACTTCAGCCCGGGCTTTAGGCTTCAGCCTTCAGCTCAACACACGCCCGGGTGGCCGGCTAGATACCCTTCGCTCGGGTGGGGGGTCAATTTGCCCCCCCCCCCCTCCCTGAGATCTGGGGAACTAAGAAAGTTAGAAACACCAAATTTACAGGGTGTATTGACCTGTACGTGAACTCACTTAGGTCGAAGTTTCAGGTTCTAAGGTCATGACCTTCAGGTCAAAAAGGTCAAACAAGATGAAGTTTCAGGCTGGTCTCCAAAATGCCTCCAGAACCTAGATAACCATTTCTAGGCAAAGGGTTGCATGCTCCTTCAAGGTCAGTGACCTTGTTTGACCAGTTTGACCAAGGTCAGTGACCTTGTTTTGTTCCTGCTATCAGTAAATTCGAGATGAGCACCAGAAACTATCCCACACAAGCAAGCCCTTGAGAAACAAAACAGGTTAGTTTTGACCTTGGTGAGACCTTTATACCTGACCTTAGGTCAATGTTATTTGCTCATTAAACTGTTGTGTTGCCTAAGAAGGCATCTCAGAGATGTATGGCTTCGTCTAACATCTTGTTGTCGGATCAGATTAAATGATTCCCTACAAATTGCCTACGCTGAAACCATGGCCTGACTTTGACCTGCCATAGGTCAATGATCTTGCAAGCTACACCTAAATTTGTGATGCCAAACTATCCGCTATTTAATTGTGTACAGCTGTGCAACATTTGGCGTGGCTACGGTGCGCCGTTCGGAAACCATTTGGGAAAAACCTTCGGGGGATCAATTCGACCCCGCCCACCCGAGCGCGTGTTAACGAACCTTGGTTGAAACGGGTGGGGGGGGGGCATTCAGCGCTGGAGCTCCTGGCTAACACGATGTCTTGCCATTGTCTCATTATGCAGCCCCGTCGTGCATTCTCATATCCCCACAATTTGAGGCTGATTTGAGGCCCTGAAGGGCCAGCGATGCTGGCCGGATGTCGTATCAGGGTTCCCAGCGCTGCGGGCCGGGCCCTCAAATTACATAGCAGCACGCGAGATGCCCTCTGGCATTCGGGGTCTGGTCCGTGTCCCTGTTCTGTTCTCTGGCCGACACAGGACCGTCTGAATGTGTAAGGGGCCCGACCGATGAAAGCATTGGGGGACGGCTTTGTCCCTACTTGAAAAATAGGGCCCAACGGTTCGGACGAGCGCTGAACCGGCTGGTTTAGTGCTGATGAAACCTAACCGAAATGAAGGCCCTTATCGCCCCAGAGGGCCTCGATCGGCGAAGGGGACAACCTCTGGCCAGCCCTTCGGAACATCAAATCGGGCCCCCTATCGTCGGTCCCGGGAGCCTTTTACACTTCTTTTCGGGTACCTCGAGCACTCTCTTAGGCAAATCGGGGCCTTTTTAAGAACAGGACCTCCTGTCAGGCACCGTGGGGCCCTGTCCAGCACAGAGGGGCTCCTTATTGATTGTTTCAGCGGCCGCGACCAGTCTAAATCGCGGACTGCATCATTGTCCCTGCTTGGAAAGTGGGCCCTGAGGCTCGGACCGACACGGAGCCGACTGTTCGGTACTGATGGTGACTGACAGACATAGGGACCCCATCGACTCAAGGGGCCCCAATCGGCATAAAGAGCACCCTGACTAGCATTGCAGGGCCCGTCCCGCAGGACTGTGAACCCTAATACGACATCCGGCCAACCCTGCTGCCCCTTTCAGGGCCTCAGAGCGGACCCACGTGCCCCCCCCCCCCCACGCCACCGAGAAGATGCCCAAACTCCACTCGCCTACGCCCCTTTTCTCGAGCATAAAGGGAGTTGGAATTTAGTCACGCCGTGTCAAATAGGTTCTTAGGAAAATGGGCCATGTTCAGACCGCTGGACTTCGGACCTTAAGTGCTTAAAAGAATCTGTTGGTGTGCACCAGCATGGTTATAGATGTCAAGTGAAGAGTGATTCGAGACGACAGCCTTAACACGTGTGGAAGCACGGCTCTGTTGTAGGAAGTCTTTGCTTTTGCAAATTGGGCTCAAATTCGAACACAAGACTTGAGACATACCGTTCTGACCTAGGGCGGACGATTGACGGTTGAATTGACGGGACTGAACTGACGGTACTGGATTGATGGTACTGGATTGCCGGTACTGGGTGGTGTCGGTACAGTTATGTGAAGCGAGCTACATCGGGGTGGCCTAGTGTACCTCATCAGGCAAAGGGCGCCTCCGGTATTGGCGCTTAGGGCTCTGGTGCACCGTCGCAATACCTATGGGGTTATTCTCCGTCTGATATATCTACTTCTATTCAGCCTTAATATGAACCTTTTTGTAATCGACGAGGGTCCGTTTTCCGCCCATCCCATTTTGCGGGGATGAGCACAAAATAAACAAACATGGATAGGACTAGTGAGAAATATACATTTCATCCGCTCAGCAGAAAGCTGTCCGCCTTTCCATAAGCCGGACCACATCCTGCCAGTAACTAGCATGAGCTACAGGATTGTGACGCGGTATTCATGGCATGGCGTTACGGTGATTGGAATCGAAAGTTGCTGCGTTTAGCTGGACTTTATCAGTTGTGCATCGTTGGGACTGGAAAGATGCTTTCGGGGTTCACAATCGTCCTCTCGTTCTGAAACAATGGAGTTGGAGAAGGCTCCCGACAACCCGGACCAATAAATTTGATAACCCTTGCCACGATGCCACGCTCGGATTGTCAGCATCGACTTCACGTGACCGCTGTGCCCTTCAGGCGACAAGCGCGGCACGATCTCATGTTGCATGACGTACGACTTATCGCACATGGGTGCAACTAGCACTGGGACTTGTGGCCTGGACGCCAGTGACAGTAGGGAAGCTGGGACATTCCTGAGATTCGACAATATGACACGGCCTTAAGGTAGACTGGACTCTCGCAGCCTCGAAGGTGTAGTTACGTTACGGTATACCACTTGGGGCCAAGGTCTTCTGGCAGGCTTCTCGCGGCAAAATAAACGCAAGCAATACGCCCTCATCACGCTTCCAGATGTGCTGTCCAGGCATCAGTATAAGACCAAATGTCTCTCTTCGCGAGCCCCGAATCTGGAATATCCGCCTCGGACCCCGTGCTGCCCTGTTCAGACGATGGCGGGCAGCTCCAGAGCAAAGCCACTGGTCACCAACTTCGCGCCTTGCAAATGCCGCTAGAAAACCGAGGTTTTTCTCCCAGTCGGAGCCATTAATCTTGAAGCTTTACATGCCGAGCGAAGTTTGCGCCCTGCCATTTTGTCTACCGAGGTTATGGTGGTTGTTTTCACACCGGCGCTAGATGGGGAACCCGGAGCCATCTTCTCGAACGACGTAGTAGCTCTGTAATATGCCCAGTCGAGTCCCAAGGGCCACAGCCATGGCGGTCCGATCTCAGCGCTCCCAATGTTCAAATAAACACCCAGTGCGGGCATGGCCGTCGAACTAGTGCACGACGGAATGAAAGATCCAGTGCCAGCGGCTCACGACCGGCACTGAATCTAGCTGGGTGAATTTAGCGGATGTGACGATGGGTATTTCACGGGCGGATGTCAGCACAGCTCAGACCGTGCTCGCGACTACTTCCACCCTACAATCTGCTGAAGTGCAACACTTGTTTGGCTGGGATTATCGTACAATGCCGGTGGCTGCCACGCATGTCGCGTCCACAGGCAACACCGGTCGTGACATGACCTGAAGTGAGACGGACACGCCGTTTCCGACGCGCAACGGAAGCGCGCGAGCCGGCCGTGCGACCCACGTGGCCGCTGAGGAGGTCTTCCCTGTTCCAGCCGCCACCAGCCGTCACATGTCGCTGGACGGTGCCGAGTCGCTGTCCGAGCCGGATGCGTCCGAGGTCGGCAGCGCGACGCCGCCCGCCGCCACCCTGCGGCGCGCCCACGAGCCTCGTCGGAGGAGGCGACCGGCGCCGGCGCCGCCTCGACAGGTGGAGGTGACTGTGGAGTTGACTGTATGTTCTGACTCTGGAGGTGACTGTGGAGTTGACTGTATGTTCTGACTCTGGAGGTGACTGTGGAGTTGACTGTATGTTCTGACTCTGGAGGTGACTGTGGAGTTGACCGTCTGTTCTGACTCTGGAGGTGACTGTGGAGTTGACTGTATGTTCTGACTCTGGAGGTGACTGTGGAGTTGACTGTCTGTTCTGACTCTGGAGGTGACTGTGGAGTTGACTGTCTGTTGCGCCGGGCTGCGTTCGGGCTCCACCGGCACGCTCTTGTCGCGATTGCTGCTTATTTATCCGTGGCCAATGTGCGGTTTGACCCTGGCGGTGTTTTGAGCCTCGCTTCGTTTCTGGCTCTGGCTTTCAGCGCGTCATCGTTTCGGGTACTTTGCTGTACTGACCATCGTGGACATGAGGTGCACTGGTGGAAAATATGTTTGAAGTGCGAGGATAACCCTAGCATGCCCCTTGGAGTCCTGTCCGATGACCTCCACGCGTTACAGGTGTCGAAACATGTTGCGGCAAAACTGCCAGAACCACAGAACCAGAACCAGAACCAAAGAAGCACCCTCCGTGTTTATGGCCGTGTCTGCAGCAGTAACAGCTCGTGCGTTCACAGTCACACCCACTGTGACTCGCACTCTGCCCAAGGTTCCCAGACTCGGCAAGGATGTGTGCCAGCCCCTGATCCTCCGGTCGTGCTACCGTCACCAGCGACGCCGTACGCCGACAGGGTCAGGTCAGCCAGGGGGAGGCTGCCGGAGCGAGCTTGCGACCGACGCCTACGACGGCGGGGCCGCACCACGCGGATGCGCCCGTGTCGGCTCGGCCCCGGCTCTCCGGCGGTGCCTCGGAGGGCTCCCGCAGGAGTTCCGACAGCGCCAGCCTCTACGACCTGGGCTCCAGCGGCCGTCCCGGCAGGTCGGTGACGTCATGCGTGCCGTGGCCGGGTGGCTGGCGCCGCTGGAGCCGGAGGCGGGCCCCAGGATCGGCCGCCGCGCTGCCACGGCGCGCTGCCTACGGCGCTATCGGCGGACTAGTGGTCAGAATGCACTCCGGACGAGCAGCAGATAGCGTGGACGGCATGCGACGGTTCACCGTGCGCTGACCTCTGAACCCGTGACAGGTGTACCCGGCGGCTCATGATGACGGTTGCAGGGATTAGAGCCCTCCGCTGCGGTGGGTAACTTAGCATTTCTTGTCCTCCGAGCTAGATGATTGACCCCGATCGAAAACGCTCGGTTATTTACTGTGACGGGGTGCTATGAATCGTTTTTGACGGCTCCGCAGCCAATGACCCGAGCAAGATACTCAACCAGATTCTTGATGCCGGCGAGGCCCTACTTCACGGTTTAACAGCGGCGATGTCACGCTCTGGACCGGACCCATCGGTGTTCAAGCCGATAAATATCGGTGCTGTTCATCAGATTATAGTGTGAGAAAAGAAAACCAATCATGTTTGTTGTTTTTGTGACAGGAATAGGGCTTACAGTTTAGAAAAAGTTGCATTTGATCACATGACATTCCTGTTTAGTGGTTTGGGACCGAGCAGACCATCGGCCACCTGAACGTTCGGTTTTCAACGTGTGCAACTATGGGCCCTGCCTCTGCCTTTCCGTCGACAAGGAGATTTCCTGGGAGTCGGCCGATCCACATGAAGGTGGGCAGAGCGTAGGATGGCGTGGAGCAATCCAGGCTGGATTCACGGACCTTCACGGACCTCCGAAACTGCGGAAAGCTGGTCTGCCCCTCGTACACGGTCGACGTCCTCTCCCAAGGACAATTCCACACTTATAAATGGCTGGTCAATGGCAGCATCATTCAATACGGCTTGCTTGGCTCCGCCAAGACCGAAAGCGCCTTCCAGGTCATGAAACCCTTCCGAAGGGGGACGACTTGACCTTTTGACTTTTCATACGAAGACCGTAAAAACTTCTCAGGCATAGCGTTCAAGACGATGGCTGGCGCGTTGTTCAGTTTCATCGCAGCAACCAAAGCAATGCAGTGAGGTACGCAGCGAGGGAAACAGTGAGGGCATCAGCGTCGTGACTGACGGCAGGACGCGAGCAGGAGGCGTGAGCTAACCGCTCGTCGGGAGGAAACGATGGGATGACAATCACGTGGGCTTAACTGTCGGTGAGCATTTTGATCATTGTGTTTTGGGTTACCTTAGTTCCGAATGTTCTATAAAGGATACTGAAATCTGTGAAATTAGTTGGTATCGGCGCATTTAAGTAGTGTCGATCAATGTGCTATGTTGTAGCCTAAGGTGTAAACGGTCTTAAAGAATCATCAGAGCAGTATCTCCACACGACTGACATTCACCGTTTAAAATGTAAAGATTGTTGATACCTAAATGCTGAGACGCAGTGTATTTCGAATTGTTATATTATGTCTAGTAATCAAGCAAGTCTGCTACAGCGTCAAGCTAAATATTCATGTCGAATTGCTATCAAACATTTATCATAGTACCTAGAGACCAAAAATTATTCTTATTAATGGCTGCACGTTCCTGCCTTTCGTAAAAGCCGAGAGGCAGCAGTCAAAAATTTTAGTTTCACATCGCGGGACTAGCAGGTTTTCAGTTTCCTCTTCACTTCAAGAGCATGCAGCCTCCCCCCCCCCCCCCTACTTGGGCTCAAGCCCACTCCCCAAACTTTGGGAAGAAAGTGATCCAAATCCGTAGAGTACCCTGTATGTTGACGTATTTCAGGGAATGTTTTGGCATTATTTTCTGCTCAGCCCTCCCGGCTCATTTCCCGATTCTACACCCCTTAATGGTTTATATGGCAAATTACAAAAAGCAAAAATGTGGTGGCCCAATGGCGCCGTCGATTCCACCGAAGCGCATTTTTCAAGGCATCATACCCGTAATGCAAACTCATGACGTGCGTGATAATTGTGTCGTTGTCTTGCTTGGTTGGTGGGTAAATGTCGATGAACTTTGAAAAACCCTTTTGCCTATCCGGGTTCTCCGTGCATCACGGCCAACCTCGCGTGCCAAAGCCAGAAGTGGAGCAATCTATGCCCGTAATGATCTCAGTATGAGTAATAGCACAGGCCTGTCACCGGGGCAGCGGAAAAGGGAGGGGGGGGGGGGGGAACAAAGCAGGCAGTTGCCACTTCTCCACCCTCCAGGAGCGACGCCACAGATTTCGGGTTTTTTTGGCGGGGGGCAATGAAATCCAGGGTCTGAGGCAAAACGGGCTTTCTCACGAATACCGGTCTGGGTAGGATTTTTAAATTAGTCTCCTGGCCTTAGATGGAAGGGAACAAGTGGATCCCACAGAACCCTTTTCTTATTCCGCATACTTAATCGGCCGTGCCTCCCGAACTGGGAGAGAGTAAACGGTTGGCATTTCTCAGAACGATTTGTAATCCTGGGAGGTAAAGATAGTTCATTTCTTTGGTCATTAGGGGGAATGAGAACTCATTACGATCACTACTTTGAGACGAAGATGATACTGACATGTAAAAGTGTTACGTTGATTAAAACAAACTATTTTTCGTCAGTTTAAAAGCTCTAGGTCATCAAAAGTAGGAGAGACGTTAAAAGTGAGTCTGGTTGTTATTAGCTGCTGAGATTGATAGCCGTCTAAAAGCCGTTTGATAGCCGATATCTGTCTGAGTCGTTTGATAACTACGACCACCGGAACGGATTTCTGTTTAGGGCGTGCATATTCAATCCCTGCCTCATCAGTTTCATTGAAGGTCGTACTTTTTCAAAATAGGGGCCCGGCTGCTTGGATGAATACAGGCCATCTGGTTCGCACCGCCTCGACCTATGGTAAGGGGCGAGCCCGTTGATATGCTGGCTTATGGCCGTCTGGCACGCATTACGTAAAGCTATTTTAATAACGTAAAACACCACTTTACTTTTTAAAACCGGTTACGGACAAAAGTACAAGTGGAAAGCTTCGCGTGGGGTCAGGTACGTAGTGTGAGACGCTTGCCACGTTCAAAAGTTCGCATTGAAGAAGGTTCGTTAAACATAAAGTTTGCATGTTTAATTATTTGTTGGGAGAAAGCATGTAACGAAATGATTGTGCACGTAAAGGTCCGTGGGCAGATTCTCGTAAATAAGTGTTCTTCAGTGACAAATTTCGTACGGAAAGTACGTGCGTATAAGATAGCATGTAGAAGTTTATTAGCCCGATCATTTTTGAACGTTTTGTCGGAGAGCCCCACTCCATACGTCTTATATGGCCAACTTTTGTGCGTTGATTCGGAAATAGAGGTTTATTGTCCAGGGTCCCAGAGGCTGACTGCCCCAGGGGTACCCAATCCGTGCAGGAGGCCTTCTGAGTGAAGTTTAAGATCACGGCTCTACGGTTGGGGGGGGGCCTCAATATGGCATACAGTCAGCCCCTGGAGCCCTTCAGTCTTCCAGTCTGGCCCTTGATTGTCACTCCCGAACACACGGGGACACTGGCCCTAGCGGCCGCTCTTCAGGCCTTCTCCAACACCGACCCCGTCTGACTCGGTCTCCTTTGTTAACACGGGACCCCCTGTTTGGCACCGTGGGCCTTTGGATAGCATAGGGAGCACCACTGACTCATTGGCTCCGACAAATCACTGTCCGACAAATCGCTGTCAATCGGCAGTCACGTATCCCGGCCTTGTCCTCGCTTGGGGAAAGAGTCGTTAGGTCCAGACCGACACGGAGCAAGCTGTTCAGTACTGGTGGTGCCAAGGAAGGCGCACCGCTTTGAAACGTGGTGATGCTACTTCATCCCAATTTGCCATTAAATCACGTGACCTACCTTCCAGATCGTTCCCGTCGTGTGATAAGGTTGTGGGTAGCGCAATGACCGTGATAGTAAGAGATATGGAAGGGCAAGATATCTGAGTAAAGCGTTTCTCCAAACATGCTGCGTCAGCAAGGTAGCTAATGAGGTCATCGGATTTACCCCAGTGCTGCAATCTACCCGAAACGAAAAGACGGTGTGAGTGGCGCAATCAGTGGGCTGAGGAACATGGAACAAGAACCAGTGAGCCAGTATACCAGCATATTAGTATAGGAAGCCAGTGAACTAGTATTAACAGTGCAGCCGTGCAAAACCTCAACCAGTCTTGCCGGTGACAGCTGCTTAGCCAGTACTGCCGCCGCTGCTGCCCCCCCCCCCCCCCCCCCCCAGCTGCCGGATTATCATGTGAGGCAGACAGCCGTGGCGATGAAGCAAATGACCCTGATTATGTGGTGGCTTACCGCCCGCCCAATGGAAATGTGTGGTTGGCTCAATGACAGAGACTGCGAATGTCGCTGATATTGGCGCCCAAAAAACATCCAAAGTACTGTCTTCTTCGTGACCGCAGTCGGTGAGAAATACCGACAAAATGCGGAGGACATGAGACGCTTAAAAAGAGCAAACAGAAGATTCAGGGAGAGACGAGGTATGTCAGTGTCAGTGTCCAGTTCTTTTCCATACGAGCATATGTCTTAAACCGTTTCAAACACCAGGTCTGCTCCCCGTGGTCTCCTACAGAAACACGTGGATATTTAAGAAATTGTTGCCCACTTTATACCTATACTTAAGCACCGACACCATCTGGGTGGTTTTTCAGCGTTGTACGGTGTGGTAGTCGGTGCTGTAAAACACTGAGCAGTGCCTCAACACGCGCTCTGGCGGCGGCTGGTTGAATCCGATGGAATAGGGGGGGGGGCCGGGGGGGGGAGTGATTTGGCCCCCCGAGATGTAAAAAACTAAGGATCTAGAGGCGCAAAATACATTGGGCAGGTAAAACTGTATGTGAACTCACTTATGACAAAGTTACACGATTCTTGGTGATGGCCTTCTTAAACATTAAGGTCAAACAAGGTCAAACTCACGATGTGTGGCCGAACAGCCCTGAGGTCTACTCATGCAACTACCTTTAACCTAGATGCCTCGGCCTAATTCGGACTTGTCATAGGTCGGCCACGCCACACCGCCCGAAAATTATGTCGGAAGTGGGGGTGCAAACTGGTCCCCACCCGAACGTGTGTTAAAATGCTTAATGGGAATGTTTCACATTTGAAGATATTGAGGTAAGCATCAGATATGGTGAATGAAGCCCACTCATGACTATTGGTATACTTTTAAGTGAAAAGCTGCTTTAGGCAACACAAGTTCTCTTCTTTGTAAATGCTCCTCAATAGTCGCTACAACGCATCGCGAGACATGAGCCGAGTCCGGCGTTGATCGCGTACACGTCGTGTTCAGCCTTTGGTGCACGCTGGAGAAGCTGCGGCTGATTCCGTATGCCGTGCGCTGAAGCTGACGGCTGACGGTGAACGGTAGTCAGCGGCGGTGATTGTTTTAAGAGATTGGTATCCATTGATTTATTTGCAGATCGGTGTGTACCTGTCGACAACCCTGAACTGTGGCTATATAGCCAACAAGTTCCCCAAAAGACGTATTTTCCCAATGTCCCCCTCTGCAATCACTGGAAGATCACAACAGCCGAAGCTGTTCTTGCTTAAATCTTAGGTTGTGGGAAGCTGTAATCACAGATCGTCCCTCGGTGCATGCCGAACGAGTCGCAGATGGCCCATTGCCTCAGACCTCAAACGCCTCAAGCTCAGTGTGCCCCCAAACTTGGAACACTTAAAGCTCAGGGCACCTCGAACTCAGGGCACCTCGAATTCAACTCAGGGCTCCTCGAACTCGAACACTTTGAACTCAGAGCGCCTCAAGCTCAGGGCACCTCAAACTCAGGGCCCCTCGAACTAAAGGCACCTCAAGCTCAGGGAACCTCGAACTCAGGGCACCTCGAGCTCAGGGCTCCTCGAATTCAAGGCACCTCAAACTCAGGGCTCCTCGAACTTAAGGCACCTCAAGCTCAGGGCACCTCGAACTCAGGGCACCTCGAACTCAGCGCTCCTCGAACTTAAGGCACCTCTAACTCAGGGCACCTCGAACTCAGGGCACCTCGAACTCAGGGCTCCTCGAACTTAAGGCACCTCAAGCTCAGGGCACCTCGAACTCAGGGCACCTCGAACTCAGGGCTCCTCGAACTCAGGGCACCTCGAACTCAGGGCTCCTCGAACTCAGGGCTCCTCGAACTCAGGGCACCTGGAACTTAGAGCACCTCGAACTCGTACACCTCGAACACAGGGCGCCTCAAGCTCAGGGCACCTCGAACTCAAGGCACCTCGAACTCAAGGCACCTCGAACTCAGGGCACCTCGAACTCACGGCACCTCGAACTCAGGGCACCTCGAACTCAGGGCTCCTTGAACTCAGGGCACCTCGAACTCAGGGCTCCTCGAACTCAGGGCTCCTCGAACTCAGGGCTCCTCGAACTCAGGGCTCATCGAACTCAGGGCACCTCGAACTCAGGGCTCCTCGAACTCAGGGCACCTCGAACTCAAGACTCATCGAACTCAAGGCACCTCGAACTCAGGGCACCTCGAACTCAGGGCACCTCGAACTCAGGGCACCTCGAACTCAGGGCACCTCTCTGGAAACTCAGCGGTCCGCTTGCGCCGCCAGCCGGACGAGCACGTTGTCATCGGCGGAGTCAACGGCGGGTCCGGAGCATCCGTCTGGGTCGGCAGCCGCGGCTGGTGGCCGACTCCCCAGCTCCGAGGCCGAGGTCGCCCTTCGAAAGCAGCGCGCGTCCGAGCGGCCTCCAGTGAAACCCACGTCCGGTTCCGCTCTGAGACTGGCGCGAGGAGCGACGCCGCACACGATCCTCCGCCAATCAGGACAGGGACGCGCCCCACCAGGTGAGCGGAGACAGGGACGAGCCTCACCAGGTGAGCGGAGGCAGAGACGCGTCTCACCAGGTGAGCGGAGGCAGGGACGCGCCTCACCAGGTGAGCGGAGGCAGGGACGAGCAACACCGCGTGAGCGGGGACAGGGCAAACCTCACCAGGTGGGCCAGGACAGGGGCAAATCTCACCGGGTGAGCGGGGACAGGGATGAGCCTCGCCGGGTGAACGGGGACGGAGACGAACCTCACCAGGTGACTTGGTACAGGGCGTACCCAACCGCGCAGGCCAGGACAGGGCAGGAACGTACCTAGCCAGGTGAGTCGGTACAGAGACATACCCAGCCGGGTGGACCGGGACAGGACAGGAACGTACCTGGCCAGGTGAGTCGGTACAGAGACATACCCAGCCGGGTGGACCGGGACAGGACAGGGACGAACCTGGCCAGGTGAGTCGGGACAGAGACATACCCAGCCGGGTGGACCGGGACAGGACAGGGGACGTACCTGGCCAGGTGAGCCGGGACAGAGACATACCCAGCCGGGTGGACCGGGACAGGACAGGGACGTACCTGGCCAGGTGAGTCGGGACAGAGGCATACCCAGCCGGGTGGACCGGGACAGGACAGGGACGTACCTGGCCAGGTGAGTCGGTACAGAGACGTACCCAGTCAGGTGAGCCGGGACAGGACAGGGACTTATCAAGGCCAGGTGAGCCGGGACAGCGACGCACCCAGTCAGGTGGACCGGGACAGGACAGGGGCGTACCTGGCCAGGTGACTCGGGACAGCAACGTATCTCACACAGCAGTGTTATACAGGAACACAGACAATCGACACAAACTCGGCGACGGACCAGCCCGGCAATGGGAGCGCATTAACAGAAACGAGTGCATTATAAACACTCGGATGACGCGTTCGTGCGGGACCTTGGGTGTATGTGTATAGCATTTGAAATAAACAAATGTTTATGCGTTGCTCCTACAGCATTAAAATGCACGATATGTTTAGATTTCGTTCAAGCTTCTAAGCTGGCAGAAATCTAAACAGCCTCAGTCAACAACCCACCTCCCCTTATTTTCCACCGTCATCATCCTGCTCAACGACCCAGTATCTCAGCCCGCACTCTATGGTCGATCCCACTCAGACGAATATCTGTAGTTGAGTTGGATCCCCGCTCTCTTGCAGGCCTGTTTCGGAGTGGAGGGACGGAGCGCGCCCTGGCCTTCCCGCCGTCACAGCCTCGACCCCGCCAGCGGGGGCAACCCGAGTCGCGGCGGGCGGCGCCGCCTAGCCTCGAGGACGACGACGACTTGGAGATCGACGCGACCCTCTTTGCTATGGCCAGGAAGCGCCGCGCGCCGCCGCCACCGGAGCCGACTAGAGCGCCGCCAGTGCTGCCGATGCGGGCTACAGCGACTACGACACCGCGCACCCGGGGATTGCCACCACCACCCACCACTCCCGGGCCCGCTGAAGCCCGGCCGACCGCACCGGACCCGGCGCCACGCTTCGTTCCGCAGAGGAAGCGGGCCTCCAACGCATCAGTGCCAGAAGACGATCCTCCCGCGGTTGCGAGCCTACAGGAGCCGGCTCCTGTCTCATCAGCGACCGTAGCCACGAGCTTACAGGAGCCGGCTCCCGCTCCATCAGCAAACTGCAGCTGCGAGCTTACCGGAGCCGGCTCTCGCCCCACCAGCACCAGAGGAGCGAGCCCCCGCTGCTCCGAGGCCACCGGAACCGGAGCCGTGTGGTCGCCAGCCGCCGGAGCTGGCTCCCGCTGCGTCGCCGTCTCCGCCGTTCTGGCACAAGTCGGGAGGCGCGTCCGCCGCGGGGTCGGACGACCTTGCGCGCGCTGGGGAAGTGGCCGCTCGTGACTCGGGGGCTTCCTCGCCCACGCCCGCCGGCCAGGCGCCGCGCCGGAGCGGCGCCGTCAGCGAGCCGTGCGAGCCCGCGTCGAGCTCAGCGTCGCCGCATGCATCGCGACCGAGCCTGCTCAAGGACGACGTCGCGCGCGCCGCTCTGGCCGACGGGAACGAAGGGGGTCACGCCGACGAGGCCGCTCGCGCGCCCCCGGCTGTCGGCGCCTACCGGTTTGCAGACAGCACTGCTGGCGAGCGTCGCACAGGAGACCCCTCGAGCGGTGCCGAGGGCGCGGAGGGCGACCGCGGCGCCGCGGAGGGAGAGGGCGGCTGCGCGACGCGCGGCGTCGGGAGCGACGCCCGAGGGCAAGTGAAGGGATTCAGAGAAGTGCGTCGCGAGGCAGTCAGAGGACAGACCTCGTCGCCAGGGGAACAAGAAATATACGGGTGGACGGGAGCGGACAGGACTGGATGGCGACGGACCGCCTCTGGAGAAGGACGAGAGATGGCATGGCGTCGAGGACCTGAATCAGAGCGCGTCATCCGACGACGCGCTACTTGCTGTGGGTGATTTGCAAAACAGACACAAAGGTGAGTTTATTCAGATCTACATAGTGCGAATATAAGCCAACGCTTGCAGTGGTTGTGCAGTATTTCCCCTGAGTTGATGGTATACGCACTGCTGTTCAAGATGCGCTTACCTCAACGGTCGGTAACGATAAAGGCTGTGGCCTGCTTTCTTTTGTATGTAGGATTCATAAGGGTGTGTTATGCATCGGGTTAATCGGTAGCATTATCCCGATTGCTTGGGCCCACATACAAACGATTTTGGATATCCTCAGCTGCACCGAAATCCCATTATTTATCCGTGTGCATGGATACGCTTAAACTATCTCACGTTTTGGCTGGACCGTTTCAGAGAGCAACAGCGACCTACCGGCTGGGGACCTTCCCTTCAGCCTGACCCGAAGACATGCAGACGTGGCGTCTGTTCCTGGATCGGTGTGCCAGACCCCGCAGGGGGATGTCGTGCCACCGCCCGGCAATGGTCCTTCTAGTCCCGACTCTGCTGGTGAAGAGCGGACAGCGATTGGTAAATTCAGGCGAAGTTCGTCGTCCAGCTTGCAAGCGGAGGCGGCGACCAGGACCGCGACGCCAGAGGCTGAAGAGCAAGCGCCAATTTCGGACAGCAAGTACGGAAGTCTGCCAGCGAGGTGCAGGTCGAGGCACAAAGATCAAGTTGTCTCCAAGCCGGAGAGGGGCGTCTCCCCGGTAAAGCACGTGGCGCACAGTTTGGACGCCAAGGCGCGTGCGTCGGGAAGAGCATCGAAATCCGGCTCTGATTCCGATCGAGGCGCCAAAATAATGTCGCTCTCCACAGCGGCCTATGCACATGTGCGGCAGTTTAACGTCGTCGAAACACTGCCGGTGGTCTATACCCAAGACAGGGCGGTGTCGCGCCCGGCCACCAAGAGGGATAGGCTATCACACGGCAATGTGGAGGCCGCTCATCAGAACAGCCCAGTATTGCCTGGCGCTGCATACTCCGGGCAAATTCAAACAGGGAGGTCCTCAAGATTGAGTGAAGGCAGTGAGTCGAACCGTCAGATGGGCCACAGGAATATTATCAGCGATTCTTATAGCGCCAACACCGTCGTTGAACTGAGAAACATGTCAGAATCAGAAGTGACGAAAACCACACTGCTTCCCAGACAGCAGGTATGTGATCAGAACAAGGGAAGGATCTAGGATTTCGCCAAGGGAGGGGCCGCGCTTCACTGCGGTGCCTCCTAGAACTTGGTGCCCCCTCCCCCCCTTGATTATCTCACCAAGAAGTTCCCGGCTTTCGGCCACTTTATTCTCAAACCCTATCTTTTAGTGATAGCATATCTTACGCCAGAATGTTTCCTGGCTTTAGTCCACGCCATTTCTAGAAGTAAATTTTCTTTGGTTTTTTGTGTTCAAAGGGCCGTTTGTGGCGCCTTTGAACTTTGGTGCGTCTTGAAGACAAAGATTAAGCGTTCCTGAAATAAGGATTTTGGTGCCTCTTCACCACGAGACTGCGGTGCGTCTTCGGCCCAATGACGGAGCACGGCCCCATGTCCCCTCCCCCCCCTCCCCCCCAGGATTCGCCACTGGATCAGATGTCTGACAACCTGTCTGGGGGCCTGATCCCCGAACGGCTTTGAGACATAGAGAAAAAAATAGAGAGCGCTTTGGGCGCTCTATTTTCTCCCAACTGGGATGGTCTGCAGCCGGCGGCAGCTCCCGGCAGCTAAACACCAGGTGGCGGTATATCAGGCGACTAAATATCAGGTGGCAGTATATCAGGCGGCTAAATACCAGACGGCTAAATATCAGGTGGCAGTATATCAGGCGGCTAAATACCAGGCGGCGGTATATCAGGTGGCAGTATATCAGGTGGCAGTATATCGGATGGCTAAATATCAAGTGACAGTATATCAGGCGGCTAAATACCAGGCGGCTGAATATCAGGTGGCAGTATATCAGGTGGCAGTATATTGGGCGGCTAAATATTAGGTGACGTCACAGTGGACCGTGCCGAGCATTGCGGCACGTTAAGCTTTCGCCGTGAAATTATACCTCTGACCCAGAATTATACGCTCGGAGGGTGGGGCTGGGGCTCGTGCAATATGTGCTGCTTAGCGTGGGCGGTGATCCATAAAGACACCAAATCAAGAGGACTCCGACTAAATCCAAAAATGTCCGCAGATCGTGATGGGACATGCTGATTCCTCGGCCGTCCAGAGCGTGGGCAATGCCTCGCTGTCCGACCGTGGCCGCTGTACTCCACCGCGCACTCGTCCCAGCTGCGAGTCGGAGCTGGACCCGCCAGAGGTGCCACAGAAGCCAGCGGCAGCGGCAGCGGCAGCGGCAGCGGCAGCGGCAGCGGCAGCGGCAGCGGCAGCTGACAGGTGATGTATGGCCCGCTGCGGCCCGGTCGAGACGAGGTTACGGCGCGCACCAGCATTCGCAGTTGAGTGCGGAGGGGGGTCCTCTGGTGACTGCTGCTCGATAGCGCTGCCACTGCCCAGCTCGCGCCGCCGGAACTTCCGGAACGATGGGTATGTGAAACCATCCATTAACGTCACCAATGTCATGGAACGATATGATGTAGTGTGCGTTAGTCTGTCAAAAAAGGGTCAGCCCAAGACCACTCAGCATCATTGCATTCAATCAGCAGGGTGTGCAAGAGGTAAATATAAATTCGTGCTGCCAGAGTTCGGGTTCCCCGACGGCCTCCACAAGCGTAGTTCATTGGTCGCTAATCTGTTGTCCTTTGACCCCGAACCCTGATATATGGGCCGCGTTCCCTAATGGCAACGTGCCTGCCGGAGCTGTTACCTATGACGTCACAAGTGCCTTCGTCACACGCGAGCGGCTGCACTCCGAGCCGTACGAACTACTGTGACTCACTTACCTGTGACGTCATAGGCTGCAACCTGTAGACGGTGTTTGGCGGTGGGAAACGCGGCTTTGACGTTCCCGACTGATTTAACAAGCCCGAGACGCCCTGAGGTTGTGCTGACCACTGCCTGGTTCGATGCTGATTGGCCGATCTTGAGCAAGAGGAGGAGCAACGGGCAGTGTGCTCCGGCCGGGGAATGAAGCATGAAAAACATCTACAGGCCTGCCACTTCGTGGTCGAATATTGAAACGCTGACCACACACTTGGTCCCTACTGCTGAGCTTGTGCCTCGGAGCGTGAGAGGCATTATAGTTGAGAAGCAGACGTGCTGACAAGCAGTTAGACATTGAGGGGGCTTGGTGTTAGATAATTGTAGATAGCATCACAGTGCGATAGGAGGTGACCTCGAACAGCTTTAACGGAGTGGTTGTCAGCATTCTTCACGTCTTGGTTAAAGCCATGAGGTGCTGTTGAGATAAATAAATACATATATTCACTTATTTATATATGTATGTATACCTGTGTGCGTGCGTGCGTGCGTGCTGCGTGCGTGGGTGTGTGCGTGCGTGTGCGCGTGCGTGTGCGCGTGCGTGTGCGCGCGCGTGTGCGTGCGTGCGTGCGTGCGTGCGTGCGTGCGTGCGTGCATGTGGTTGTGTGTGTGTGTGTGTGTGTGGTGTGTGTGTGTGTGTGTGTGTGTGTGTGTGTGTGTGTGTGTGTGTGTGTGTGTGTGTGTGTGTGTGTGTGTGTGTGTGTGTGTGTGTGTGTGTGTGTGTGTGTGTGTGTGTGTGGTGTGTGTGTGTGTGTGTGTGTGTGTGTGTGTGTGTGTGTGTGTGTGTGTGTGTGTGTGTGTGTGTGTGTGTGTGTGTGTGTGTGTGTGTGTGTGTGTGTGTGTGTGTGTGTGTGTGTGTGTGTGTGTGTGTGTGTGTGTGCGTTTGCGTGTGCCAACAGCACTTTTGCGGATATTACAGGGTGAAGAGGAGACCGTACGTTCCGCCGAAGGTTCAGCTTGGAGCGTGGACCGGCCTTGACCGAGAGGTGCAGCTGATGGAGGACAGCGACTACATCATCCGAGCGCACTCGGCAGCGGGCCCGGCACCCGTCTTGCTGCGAGGCGTCCCGAAGGTCCAACAGCGAGGACGACTGCATGTCTGAAGAGCAAAAGCCGCTCCCAGTCGAGAGAGCAAGGCCACGCCCGGTCCCAAGAGTGGGACAGTTCCCAGCCCCGGCAGGCGGACGTCGTCGTCCGGCCGGGAAGCCGGCAGGTCGTCTGCGGAGCCCGGCCGCTGCGCGCTCGCCGGTGCCGACAGTACGGCTTCGGCCGCAGCCGCTGCCCGCAGCCAGCCGCCGTCGGCGCCGAGCCCCGAGACGACGGACGGCGCGGCGCTGTCAGCGGCCCAGGGGCGGCGCGGCGTGCCGGCCTCGGGCGCCGCGGGCAAGCAGCCGGGCTGCGAGGAGGGCGCAGTGGCCGGGCCGGGCCGGCTGGACGTGCAGCCCGGCCCGGCGGCGGCGCTGCGGCTCCCACACGCTGGCGTGACGCTGGAGCCGGCGGCGGCGTCGGTGACCCACACGTCGCCGGTGGCGCCGCCGGCCGGATGGCGCGTGCAAAGGCTTGGCGCGGCGTGGGCGCGCGGCCCGCCGGCCGGCGCCGGCCGGATGGCGCCGCAGCGGGATGACGGCACGACGCCGTGTGCCGGCGCGCCTCAGGAACAGCCGGCCGAGGGACAGGCACGAGCCGTTATAGACCCGGCGGACGGCAGGACGACCCGGTCGGACGGGCCGCCTGTGAGACCGATGCACGGCCTCTTCAGGAGCGCGGGGTGTAGCGACGCGTCACGGCATCGGCTGGATGATGCAACAACAGCCGATAGTTAAAGGTCAGGAAGGCTGTTATGCTGGCAGACGTGCCGCGCAGATTTTGTGGGAGTTCACCTTCAACAAAGCGTGTTAAAATGTGTGAAAATTCATAGTTATAGGGTAAGAAAAATATCGCGAATGTTGTTTTTTTTTGCCCGTTTGTCTTCACTCCAGCTGTGAAGGGCCGCATTGTCCAATCACTTTTCAGGTAAGTTGTGTGGAGTCGTCGGCGTCGTCATGTGATATGTGCATCTGGAGTCGTTCCATTCATTCAGTGATATCTAGTTTTGCAATAACTGCTGAACTGGCAGCCTACTTGGAGCTCGTTCCGGGAATGAAAGCAAGTTGACCAGTCTATTCAGTTATTTTGGTTAAAAAGTTTTTTTACAATTATCTTTTGGCGTGTACAGTTTCGTTTACGATCAGCACCATGTTAAACTTGAGGAGGGCAGAGACGTAAAAACCGAATGAATAGCACGCCCCACGTAATGAGGCCACTGTGCTAACCGGGGTGCCTGGTACGCCGCAGGGTTCCGAGCATTGCCGAGTGCTGTTGACCAGCCGGACGGGAGAGGTGCGGTGCAGCCCCACCCCGCGGGCACCGGTCCGCCGGCCGGGCCGCAGCGCTGACGACACTAGAGTCGGCAGGGCCGCGGCACTGACGTCACTCCGGCCTGCCGGGCCGCGGCGCTGACGTCACTCCAGCCCGCTGGCTGGGCCGCAGCGCTGACGTCACTAGAGCCCGCCGGGCCGGGCCGCGGCACTGACGTCATTAGAGCCTGCCGACCGATCCAGCCCGCCCAGCCGCCGACGCTGCAGCTGGCCTGCCACGCCATGCGTGGCTGGTCGCCTCCCCGCCCGGTCACCAGCAGGGCGTCCCGGGGATGAAGTTGTGATGCGCCTCCTGGGCTGCAATTCCCGGACGCTGTTTTGGAATGTGTGAATATCTGAGTGCGAGCTGGTGAAGAAAGCGTTTGTGTCCGCGTGTGGCTCAAGCACCATTACCACGCGAGCTGTATCTCGGCAGTAATATTAGTTTTAACCCAGTTTATGAATGACTATCAAAGAATACCACTTTTTGTTTAAAAACTGACTTGCGTCCATGTAGAAAATATTTTGAGTCAGACGTTTAAATAGCAAGCTTTCAGCACCTGCCCATTTCGCATGATAGAAGCTCCATAAGAGATCCTTAAGGTATCGGAGACCAGCGTTTCTCAAAAACATAAGGTGCTTTGCTTTGCTGACGATTTTGTGCAAATTTCCGATGACTTGTCACATATGGAAAGGTTGTGACAAGCATGGAGGGCCAAGGTGCTCCAAACATACCTGCGCATTTTTCCACCCATGCCTGCTGTAACCGTCTTCTTTGAAAACATGTGGGAACTATTCCATCACTTTTCACATGGGGGCTGAAAACTTCGCAAAATGCGGTGGGAGGCGGAGCTAACCAGCAACAACTAACTCATGCGATTACGACTACGCTGATTACGTTTAACACGCTAATATCATTTGCGTTACATCGAAATGTGCATCTTCGGGTATTCGCGTCTTTGTGCAATCTTACGTCGCAATATACAGATTGCATTGATTGTGATCCGAAAGTGCAATCTACGCGGGCCGCGCATGCGCGCATGAAGATGCTCAAGGGCTAGTGGCGATTGGCCGCCGCTGTGGACGCGGGTGTGCCTGGCGTGCAAAATGGTTTTTCCCATCGGTTTGACACTGTGGGCACCAAATGACATTCGCGCAAAACTGGCAGCAAACGCTTTGAAAGGGCGGTGATCACTAAGCAATTAGCGGTCGTGGCGATAAAAATAAGCATATTATGGCGAGACATGGAACCTGGCTTGCCGGTGCCGGTGGTGCCGGGCTTGGTGTACACATTGTTGGCAGTACCGGGCTTGGCGTGCACAATTGCATTAAGAATAAACTGGCCAGTCTTTCGATTGGTTCAGTATATGTTTTGTCTGACAGATCAAGAGCTAGAGCCAAAGGAGCTCCAGACGTGCAACTACCATCAACCATCTATATCTCTATCGACTATCTGGATATGTCGCCTACAAAAGTGCGATGTCTACTAAACTGCTCGCAACAGTAATCCAAAAGTAAGCAAACAAGGTGGCCTTTGAGGCACGTTCACGAGGGCAGATCGCTCTAGCCCTAAACATGTCAAATGTTGCCTTGACAATGATGCCACCGTGCAGTCCGAATGGACAAAAAGCCGTCCTCTTGCTGACTAGGTTTCAGCATACCTTCTCCATAGGCCAGTCCTGGCAGGGGTGCGGCCAAGGGGGACGTAGGGGAGGCGTTCCCCCTAAATCCCGGTTTTTTCCGTATTTCATCACAGGTGGCTCCCGACAGAAAAGTAAAAATATCGGCGAGATGTATAGCCAACAGCCCTGTCCGCGCCCCGTAGGAATATCTGGGCTAGGCCCACGCGCCATGGGCATTTTTACAAGGAGTGTAACTGCATCCTTTTTACATATGGACCCACGCACACAAACGTCCTTAGATGCTCCGTTGCCAGCATTCAGGAAGCCTCTCTTGTTTTGAAGATGGGTGAAGTGGAAGATCGAGAAAATGTCCTCCGGCTTCAGAAACGTGACACTAAACGGTTTAAATAAGTGAGTGGCATGGCCAGGCACGAGTAACACAGCTCACGCAAGAGCGACTAACCGCACTTGCGCTGAATTGCCCTCCTCGCTGTTTCCACCCATTGAGCAGCGTTTTTATTTCAATAGGCTTGGTGCAAAAATCCGGCTCAGGAAACGTATCGGCTGGCTTTAAATAACAAGTGCCACGACACGCACTGATTCCGGTGCAATCGCCAATGGCATTCTTTACCAAGCGCATTAGTGGCGAGTAGGAGGGTGACCCCCCCCCCCCCCCCCCCCCAGAAAACCGCTGCATTGTACCCTTTTTACGACCGATGGCTCCTGAAACAAATTAAAAATCGACGTGATGCGTTTCTTCCACCTCCTCCCCCTCCCCCTCCGCCCATCAATGAGCTCCCGGCTGCGCCCCTGGTGACAAAACACGTAATGCCGGCAGCATTAGCCTTGCCTTCACCTTGACCCTTGACAACGGCGGAGCGGCGCGTCTCCATTCCGTATTGCCTATTGCATGTGACGCCCATCCCTCAGAATAGCAGGTCGTCACGGACCTCTCACCTGCCGGTGGGTGGTCATGGAATGCGAGCCGTCACGCACATCCGTCACGTGCGTGACGACTCATAACTTTCTGTCGATTATTCCAGAGGGGAACACAAGGTGTGGGTTTAATCTATCCGTGCAGCGCGCCATGCCTCACATTACAAGTCAGATGTAGTCATCGTGTTGGCAAAAGTATGAAAACCCACATCAATTGTTTCACACCTTTTGAAGCGCAATCGCCAGCGACTGCTGCAGCCGGCCTGCGTCGCGGACTGCACTAGAATGCATCCCAGCAGGGACGGAAAGGCGATCGTAACCCACGGCCGGAGCCTGCCGCGGTCCGCGGGCGTCGTATGTGTCCGCCGGAGACGGGAGAGCCTCCGCGCGCCCGGGGAGGTCCCCGCGCGCCCGGGGAGGCCCGCTCCGCGCGCCGCCGGCAAACAAGATCAGCGTCCGGCGGGCGTCCAAAGCGGGCGCGGCTCGCGGCGGGTCCCGGGGGCAGGGCGGTCACTGGGCCGGGCTCCGGGGACGGTCCGCCGCCCGCCCTGACGGCTGGCCGGTCAGGCGGCATCCCTCCCTCGACGGGAAATCGTTAGCGACGTCAGGCGAGCGCCGGCCCGCCCGCCGCCGGCAGTGTGTCATGGGACGCCGTGAGGGCCGACAGCCTGGCTCGGCGGCGCGCGGGCGGCTGGCCGTCGTGAGCGACGCTCGCGCCTCGCCGGCCGACGCCGGCGCCGCGGCCGCTGGCCGGCCGCACCGCGGGCCGGCCTCGGGTAAGTGCGGCACGAGGTGTGCGGTCGGTGACATACCAGTCGTGAACGCAACGCCGGGATAGATGAAATCGGACTACGCGCTGAATGGGCTATGATTGGCCTTATTTTTCAGGTGGAGTACACGCGGTAGAGGTATTTCTCACTTCAGCTGCATCGGCGTCGAACGCGTGACGAAAGAAAAGAGTGGGCTGCGTTAGACTACGTTTAGAATCAAACTAGAGTCTAGTAAGTAGGTTTGCAAAGTAGGTGTGTCGTGATCATAAGCCCGGCATGAAACGTGAGTACTGTCAATGTGACCGACATTTACCCCATAACATCGTTTAATCGGTACGTTGTAGTTTTGCGTCTCTTATCATGGCGAATGTGATCCAAAAAGCGGTTCCAGTAATTCCGTGGGTCCGATAGTGCAGTGGTTAGGCTGCTTGCCTGGAACGCTGGAGGTATGGGTTCGATCCCCGCGGTGCCCGCCGTTTTTGTCAGGGGGGTTGACAGGCGACGCCATGTAGTCTCAGCGACTGAGTGCACCGTAGAAAACCACTGTCCAGCGTCCCTATCGGGAAGGTGCGTGGCATGATATCCTCTGATGTTTGAATCACCTCTTTGAGGGAGGTCTTCGCCTCGACTTTTGTGTATATTCAACCGTTTAAGAAGGGTTCTTCCAACCCGAGCATACCTACCCAAATAAGGTCACTTGTTGGCACATGGCATGGCCGCAACAAAATGTACATGCCAGCCTGTAATCGCCAGAAAAACGCAAAGCTTATGCCAGCCAAAAGCGCTTGTTCCGGTTGGACTGCCCTTTTAGGCCTGTTCTGGTGCATGGGAAGTGAGGACAAAGAGACGCGAATTATCATTCCAGTAATGATTCAGGCATTTTTAGCTCCATTCCGCTCTCACTGGTTCGTCCCATTCTTGCTACTGTAAGCACTTGAGTGCCTTATCAGGTGGGACGAAAGATCCTTGTTTGCTTGTTTCGTGATGGACGGTGATCGGGGCGATGTACTTGAATGTTGATCACGTGGTCCAAACATCGCCGTTGGGGAGCGCTCGTGACGGATTTTGAACTTCCTTGTTACGTCTGACTTTCTGTGCGTCCTGTACCAAGCAATGGACTGTGATATGTTTCAACAAATCCTGCCACTGGACACCAAATGTATCGTTCTCTTTTCTCGAAAAAAAAATTTGGCATCTCTGCTTTCACTCGGTTTTAATTGGAAGAATCCATTCACGACGAAGAAATCAGCATGTTTCAAATAATATGCGTCAACTAGTTCACTATGTGTGACACTCTACTCCGCCACGGGCATGTCGACTAGCACCGCTCATTTCTGTCTCGTGAATTGCACTCCTTAAGGCTCTTCACGTGCGAGTGGCTGTTCTCAGTCCAACGCCACGCACTCGAGCAACGTGGGACACAACATTAAAGAAATATGAAATCAAGCGGCAATGCGTATGCTGCTACCAACGGCCGTGTACACATTGGGCATGTGACTTCTCAGTCGCATACTCAATGGATCAAAGAACACCACGCAAAAATTCATATCAACGGGCACCAATGCGCGGCAGGTCAAATCGCTACGTTTCCGGAACGTTCTCAGTTTCCCTTTGAATGCCTCGATTTTGGTCCGGGCATTTCTGTCGACATTCTGCTGAAGAGATATGGGCCAAGAGAAGCAAATTAAAGTCCTCTGCGCACGTTCTCGCTAGTTCTCGCACGTGCGAACGTTCTCGCACGTTCTCGCAGCTTATCCCACCTTGTGCGTCTTCATTGAAAGTGAACATTGTTTTGCGAGAATCGCGTAAGTGGAGGAGGCTCTCCGACTCTCTAGTACACTGCGGGAATGCGGGACCGCTAGATGCTTGAAAATGAGCCAGCCTGGCCCCCTCGGCACGTCGATTGCGTGGTCAATTTGTCGTCTGGCTGGCGCTACTCTCCCTGAGAAGTTCATTACCTTTAAGATCCCTTGCAAGTTTTGCTGGAGTAGTTACCAAAGACACAAAGACAATGATGCGCATGAGAGATGCCCGTTCAGTATGTTGTAGGTTGATGGGACTGTTCTGGTGAAACTGGTGCCGAAGTGATGTGTGGTCGAAAGGAAGGTCCAAAGTATTTCCGGTTGCTATTAGCAATGTGAACATCTCACGACAAAAACTGGTCAAAAAGCAATGTCGAGGTATGGTACGACAGGCTCTGACTTGATCTCCCCGAAAGATGACTGTCAATTGAGGGAACCCCTTTCAGGTTTTGCTGGGCGCCAAAGACCGTCATTTTCGTTTTGGCTGCCTTCACCATCAATGAATGGACCAAGCAAACCATCGGCAGACTAGAGTACGTGTCGCGCCCCGCAGTGATGACAACGCTGGTGTCACATTTTCGGCTGCATGCTGAGGTGGAGCCCCCGCCGAGCCCGACATCGCTCTGCTGCGACGGGGGTTGTAGTCTGCGCCCGGTGTCGGGGAGGGGAGTGGGGGCGCTGACTACGACTGGCTGTATGGCTACCGAGGTAAGACTGAAGTCATTCGAAGCCAACATAATGTAGACGCATTTTAATGAAAAACATGGAGCTGTAGGTCAAAACATTTGCTCAAGACAGTCATGGTTAGAAAAGGCATGCGAAGCCCATTCATCGCACATGAATGATATTTGATAGTTCGATAGTGATCATTGATCAGCGCTGTTTTGGCGCTGTGGTCTAATGCTGGGCTAGGACGAGAAGATCATTCTGAGAGGGGCAACGATCAGCCTCGCTTTGGACAGCCCGCAAAGAGATCATTATCCGCTGTGATCACGGAGACGGATATTACGCTGGCTGTGCCGGAAGATAGACCGGCTTCATGGAGAAGGTGAACAGTGGCACACACACAGGCGGAAGGGGAGGCATCGTCTTTAAGGCAAGCGATGATGATGGTGAGCATTTGCTGACTAGGTGTGTCCAAGCGTAGTTGGCCCTATCGCTCCGAGTGGCTCCCACGCATAGTTGCTTCATGCGTTTTGCAAGCGGCTTATCCTGCGTTTGAGTTTGCCACGCTCGGTAAAAGACAACTTGGAGCAGGTCGTCGCATTGCAGGGTAGTTGACATGCTTTCTTCGTGGAAAGCCCAATTACCAGCAGTTGCTCCTGCGCAACGTGTGATCTTACGCCGAGAAAATATTTGCTAGCGGGTTTGTACTGGCCGTTGGGTCTACCGAATCATTAGTCTATGTATTCACCATGACATCCAGATGTTCATGAAGCTTATGGGATTTGCCGGTTTTTTCCGAGGAATGCAGATCTGCACTGAGAACGAGTAACAGAAAGCGATTCTGCTTCATGGAAAATAATTGTATCAAAATTTGCTGAGCAAGAAGTGAGCCCATTGGTCTGCACCCGGTTTGCGGTACCCTTGGAATCGCAACAAATACAGCAAACATAAATTGTGGGGAAAATGTGCGGCTGCCCGTGTTCGGCCCGTCCTCGACATTAGCAGGAAGGCCCATGAGTAATCTCCGCGCTAGCACCTCACTATGTGTGTGATCAGGCTCCGATTGGACCGGCGTTGAGGCACTCTTAGTGGCGTCTCTTGTGAAACAGGAGACACAGATGGCCTCTTATCACCTCGCAAGGAGTGCCAGACAGGCAGGCAAGGCCCACAGCCGCTTTGTAAGTCGCCCCGGCGCGGTGCCTTCCCGGGCGGGGATTATCTGTTGCCAGCGTGCCGATGCGTCGTGGCAGTGTTTTTCAGCCTTTTGTCGCGTTAGGGCCGTCGTGCAGCGCCCAAAAGCTGCAAGATATTCAAAGGATCTTGAACGAAGGGGGATTAGCATTCGATGTGCTTTCCTGGCATGCTGAAAAGTCAGGTCAGGACCTGGTTCGACGCCGCCTCGCCTCGGGTAATGGGGCTGCGCTCATGGGTTACGGTTAGGGCATGAGCTGAAAAACGCATCGTGGGTCTGCTGTCCCCGGTTGGTGAGGACGTCGGAGCACCGAGCAAGTAACCTCCTTGCTTTGGATCAGTCCAGACTCTCAACACTTGAGAACTGCACGTGTCGGATTTGCTTTGCCACATAGCATTGCTTCTTCCCAATTCACTGGATCGTTCATGTAAAGAACGTTGACTAAGTAACGCGTATTCCATACTGTGTGTGTCACCCCACCACAGATCTCTCCGTCTCCTGGGGCTTGCACATGGAGGTCCGCCTGCCCAGCCCGACCTTCACCCCCTCCGACAGACGCGGGTGTCCAGCCACGCCGAGCTCCAGACCTCCGCGACAGACCTCCGACTCCTGACCTGCGGGCGCAGGCCTGCCGTTGAGCTCGGCGCGGCCCCGGCGCTCTCGGCCGGGCCATGACCGCGGCTCAGAGGTCGGCCGCGCCGGCGGCTGCGGCGCGGCTGACCGCGGAGCGCCGCCTCGCCGGCAGCCCGCCGTCGGCCACCCGCTCGGCCCCCTCGCCGTCGCCGGCCACCATCGCGGCCGTGCAGTCGCAGCTGGCTCTCAGCCGCTTCAGTCTGAACGACGCCGGGCTCGACAACGAGTTCGACCTGCTGCTGGGCGCGGTGGGCGACTGCGGCCGCCGGCAGCGGTGCACGTTCCTCCTGCTGCAGCCCGTGTTCGTGTTCCTCTGCTTCGTCTACTTCGGTCAGACGTGGCTGCTGCTGGAGCCGGCGCACTGGTGCCGCTCCCCGGAACTCGACGCGCTCGGCTTCGGCCCGCGACAGGCGCGCCGCCTGTCGGTGCCGCCCGACGAGCACGGCGGTTACGACCAGTGCCTCATCTACGACGTCAACTTCACCCTGCTGGTGAGCAGCGGCAACTGGAGCGGCCTGGGCCCCGGCACGCCCACGACGTCCTGCCGACACGGCTGGCACTTCGACTTCGGCACCCTCTACCCCACCGCCGTGTCCGAGGTGCGTGGGTGTCCGGTGCCGTCGGCCTGTGTCGGCGGTGTGGAGAGTTGCGACGTTGCGGGCCTGGGTTGAATGCTGCGGAGCTGCATCGCGTGTCTGGGGCTGACAGCCTGACAACTGACAACCTGACACTTCTGGCAAGGTGGTGTCACTTGGTGATCGCATCCAGGGCGCAGCCAGGATTCTTAGCGCTGATCTCGTGGAGTACGCATCACGCAAATTTTTAACGTCATGTCGGGAGCTATCCATGATGGAAAATACAAATGCAGACCTAAGGAAGACCACTCCTCTTTTCCCTTGCTGCGCCCCGGGTTGTGTCCAACGTCGTTGAATATCACTGCAGCGTAGTAATTCTGCCATCCCGAAACGGATGAAGTGTTTGTGCGAGTCATGGATCTCATTGACGTGTTGTTCCCCACACAACATTTCCAACGGTGATTTCTGCGCACTCTCTTTATTTTTTATTTTATTGTTTACCATTATTATTTTGACCGTTGCGCAAGCTGAGTTATCCAATATAAGTTGATCCTGGAAAGGACCTGAGCCTATTGGTCGTGTAGTTATGCATACTCATTCGCACCGCACTTTCGACAGCCTCTGGCGTGTCCGAGCTTCGAACTCACGTACTCATGTAATGTATTGCAATGCAACAATGCCCGCTCCCACGATCATGAGTTAGGCATTGTATTATCTTCGTACGCAAGGGGCACATCTCATGTACGCATGGTAGGCCGACCGAGCACCATCACGTCTGCCTTTAAATCGAGCACTTCTTCCGGCCAGTGGTCGCATTTTTGACACCACCTTTCATCGCTCACTTCTTGGCGCGCGTGGCAGCTGCTTCCGTACCCCGACACTGCTTCGCGCGCCTTTTTCAGTTCGGCTGGGTGTGCGAGAACGCCTGGCTGAAGCCCTTCGTGTCGTCCATGTTCTTCGTCGGCGCCGTGATCGGCACCATGGTCTTCGGCTACCTCGCCGACAGGTAGGCCGTGGCGGCTGCCCTGCAGCTGTCGGGTAAGTGGTCAGCTAGCGCGTGTCCGGACAGTGCGCTATCGCCTCTGACCAGACAGCGCCGGGGCAGCTGTCCGGACAGCCAGAGATGGGAGCCCGCCGCGCCCGCCGCTGCCCCTGACCCGGGCGCTGCTCTGACGGACGGTGCATGCCGGCAGGTTCGGCCGGCTGCCGGCGCTGGTCTCGGCAAACCTGCTGGGCTGCTGCGCCGGTCTGCTGACGGCCGCCGCCAGCGGGCCGGCCAGCTTCGCGCTGGGCCGCCTGCTGGCCGGCGCCACGTACGACCAGCAGTGCGTGCTAGCGCTGGTGTTGCTCAGCGAGTCGGTCGGCGCCCGCTACCGCACGCTCGTCATCAACGTGCCGATGGCCACCTCCTTCATGCTGGCGGCCGTCTGCCTGCCGTGGCTGGCCTCCGGCCTGGCGCACTGGCGCACACTGGCGCTCGTCACTGGCGCGCCAATGGCCGGCGCCGCGCTGTACGCCTACACGGTGCCCGAGTCGGCGCGCTGGCTGGCGCGCGCTGGCCGCACCGGCGCCGCCGTACGCCAGCTGCGCCGGCTGGCCGCTGAGAACGGCCGGTTCGTGCCCGATGCCGTGTTTGCGGCGTTCGAGGAGCGGGCGCGGCGGCGCGCGGCGCAGCAGCGGCAGTCGGCCTCCGTGGCCGAACTGTTCCGGCGGCCGGCGCTGCGCGGCCGCACCCTGGTGCTCATGTTCACCACCATGGCCATGATGCTCAGCTTCGACAGCAGCGTGCGCAATACCAACTTCGACATCGACATGCGCGTGGCGGCCAGCGTGCTCAGCCTGATGGAGCTGCCGGCCGACTTGATCGTGCTGTTCCTGGCCGAGGCCGTGGGCAGGCGGGCCACGTTCAGCGGCGCCCTGCTCATGGCCGCGCTCAGCTCCCTCATGCTGGGTCTCACCCTGCACGCGCGCACCCTGCCCACCGTCTCCACCACGTTCGCCATGCTGAACCGACTTTTCGCGACGGTGGCGGCCAACATCTGCTGGCAGGTGGGCATCGAGCTGACGCCGACCCAGGTGCGTTCGCAGGGCTGCGGTCTGATTCACGTGGCCGGCCACGCGGTTGCCTTCTTCAGCCCGTACATCCTGCACCTGCACCGGCAGATGCGCGGCCTGCCGCAGCTGCTGTACGCGGCGCTGGCGGCGGCTGGCGGCGCGGCCGTGCTGCTGCTGCCGGAAACGGCCGGCCGCCGCCTGCCCGACTCGCTGGACGAGGCCGAGCGCTTCGGCACCGAGCCGGCCGCCTCGCCTTGCCGGCCGAGCTCGCCGCGAGGCTCGCCCGCGCGCCGCCGCAGCGTGCCCTACCGGATCGCCCGTAGCCTGGACGGCCTGTGCCGCGCGCCGGCCGCCACCAGCCTGGAGGCGGTGGTGCCGCCGGCCGGCGCCGGACGCGCGGGCTGCCTGCAGCCGCCGAACGGCGCGGCGAGCCTGCGGCCGCTGGACGCCGCCGGCCGCACACCCAGCCACGCGCGCACCGTCAGCCTGAGCGCGTTCGGCCTGCTACAGGCCCAGGTGCGGTTCGCCGACGATAGCAGCGACAGTCTGAATGTGCTCGAGCCGAGCCAGCGGGGCGCTGCCGGTGCTGCCCCGGGCGTCGGCCTGCCCGCGAATCTCGCCACCCGCTAGTTTCGTCTGAACTTGCTGTAGGCGCTGATGACCATGAGTGTAAAGTTAGTAGCATGGCGCTGTTTCAAGCGAGAGGAACCCAGAGATCTGTCCTGGCCGCTCGAGTACAGTTATGACACAGACAGTCGTAAATGAGTTGTGCAACTGGAATTGCTGTCGTTTTAGTTCGTGGCGTGATCAAATGCAAGCATATAAAATGGCGAGTTCGTCGAATGACAATGTTAGGAAGCTACTGCCTTGGTGCAAAAAATACACGACGCTCGTTTTTCCTGATGGAAGCATCAACAGCCGAGGCAACCCGACGTGTCCACAAATCCTCAAGGTAATACACTCCACCATCTCGTGCAGAGTAGTGGAGCACTGCTGAGCGACAAGACACTGGTTGGGATGGCATCTCACCCATAGGCGTAGGAACGTTCCAAAAGGTGGGGGGCCAAGCTCAGGGTGTAACTCAGCAACTTTTTCTGGAAAGCGAGCCCGACGACCAGGGGGGGGGGGGGGGGTAGGGATGGAGATTGTTACCGCTCTATATGCAAATGTCATGGCTGCTATGCTAGATATGCACATAGAGATGTTTCTCGCTGGTGCACAGTCTTGCCTATTCGACCCGTCTGTCGTTTGGCAAATAAGGCTATCCAGCCTCCCGAGATTATTCGTTCACTTTAATATTGTCATTCCTGAGGAGGCAAAATTCCACGAGCGGGTAGGCATTTTGGGGCATCGACGAAGCGTCTACCCCCACAGTGTGGACGCCAAAATACGGCCTAGATATAGGCTGATGAGAATTTTGAAAGTGGATCGATGGCTCACAGTGCGACAGATTTGTCAAGGGCCTTCACTTCGCTGGCTGCTTTTCGAGAGATAAGACTTGTAGCAGAATTTTAGGCGGAAACAAATTTGGACGCTTGAAACTGCTAGAAACATTATTACAAAAGCCGTAAGAATGAGGATTATCTTTTGAGAACCAAGCCACATGATAAGGCCCATCTGTCATATGTACCTTATCTGGGTCCTGCTCATGTCCGCCGTCCGTGGCCACTGCTCTGGCCCGGATGTCTCTCGCATGGCTGACTGCAAACTGATCGTATGGCTGCCTTGTTGCATACTTTTGGATCAGCTTTACTACTACATGGTGTATGAAACATGTGCTGGACACCTGCAACAGCACCTTTTTCCTAATTATCCTCCCTGACATCACACCATCGCAGAAAAACAGCCTCCGGGAAGCCGTTTCCATTAGGTATGAATTGACCAAACGGACACTACATTGCCCATCATGGAACGTATACGACTTGATCTGCTTTTGCGTGTAGGCAGGGGCGAAGCCAGGGCCTTGCCAAGGGGGAACACGAGGTTGACAAAAGCCCGTCTCATGGTGATCCCCGCCCCCCCCCCCCCCCCAATCCCCGGATATAGCTTACTTGTTAACAAGTGACACGGTTTTCTTCGTTTTATTGTTATTTTTACCTTGCAACCAGAACAGAAACCAGAAGCTGCAGTGAGCTTAATTCTGCTTGTATTTTGTGGTCAATAAACTGCAGAAGTCAGGCGATGAACGACTGCATGGAATAAATAACCGGCGCTCTTAATTTACAATGATTAGTTGACTCTTTCTAAACCGATGGAAGGCAAAAGCTTTGTCAGAATTTTTATCTGGGTTTTGGAGACATTGAGGACATCGCGAAAGTAGATTGTAGATCGATATGTTTGATCCAAAGTTGAAAATGAAAATTGGATTGCAGATCGAGTGGTCAACAATGTATATTAACATGGCCAAGCCATGTTCGTCTGAAAATGTTCACCATTCAGCCAAAATCGATCAGTGATACAATTCATTTCACGTGTTTTTAAAATGCGCGCTCGCAAATCTTAGAAACAAAAACCTCGACACCAGGCGTTGCAGTCTTCATAGTCCGTTGAGCGTTAGCCCAGTGGCTAACTTTTAGCTGTGGCCCATCGGTGGACGAAAATAATGGCGCTTCTGAATTGATTATCTTTAAACACTTTAATCGACTAGTAATACAAGTTATGTGACGTAATTTTGAGTCTGCGCACTCGGAAATCTTACAAACACAAGCCTCGACCCCAGGCGTTGCAGTCTCCGTAGGCCGCGCAGCACCGGTCTAGCAGTTATTACTAAGTTATGGTCAACGGGTGGACGATCATGACGACTCTTCTGAAAAAAGTATCCTTGAATGCTCCATGACATCAGTTCTTACATTTAGAGGGCAGTCTGAGCGCATATTTCACGTGTGCAATTTTTTGACTGGTGAAAAGCACGGATTGGCCCTTAACGCACCGCGAGGTGGGGCTGGAATCTGGTAGTTGAACTGGAGGAGTGAACGTAGAATCTCTATTTTTCGTGTTTCCGCAGCTATTCATCTATCCAGAAGACAGATTAACACGGCGTCCGCCGTCTGGTCGCACTTGCAGTGGCGGAAACTTTTTGGTTTTACGGAAGTCGCAGCCCACATCATCCTTATCCTTGCCCTCGAGGATGCGGATTGACATGTTCAAGCCTTTTGATGTAATTTGTTTCAGTAATACATTCTGCTGTGGTTTGCGTTATCAGGCAAACATGGCATGACCCTGCTCATTTTTTAGGCTCATTTCGACCTACCCTATTCAACAATAATGAGACCCCCACTCTACTCAACAATAATGAGACTCCTTACTTCCTTCCGGGCAAGGGAAGTAGTACACCAGGGGTATATCACCGTTTCTGAAGGGCCATTCCGTCCCATCGCAAAGTGTCTTCTGGCTATCATTCCGGTGACATGGAGCGGGATCTCCTGGTCGATCCAGAGGCCATAGTACAGGAACCCTCATTGACGCAACAACATCCTTGATCACCGCAAGAAGTCCAGTAATTGCCACATAGATTCCAGCTCCGTGTTTTTCTGTGTTCTTCGGAGATATTGAGTTCTCCCTGACCGTAGATTGCAAATGGAATGGGGTTCCTAATTTGCATTAACATGGCTAACCCATGTTCGTCTTAAACTGCTCAAGATCCTGTCAGAACTGATAACTGATAAGAAAACTACGTAATATGGTCTTGAACATGCACGCTTGCAAGTCATAGCAACAACAGCCTCGACGGCCGGCGTTGCAGTCTCCAGGCCGTGCGGCGTGGGCCTTGTCCCTGTAACACTGAGAGATGGCCAATGAGCAAACGAAAAAGATGACGTATCTTAAGCGAGATGGCTGGCGAAGTAGACAAATCGATGTGCGCGTTTATTGTAGTGCAAAAGTAAGCCAAATGCAACCTTAATATGAAAAGTGGGGGGGGGGGGCAGTTAACATTGCTGCCCCCCACTTTGAAAAGTGGAGGGGCCATGGCCCCCCTGCCCCCCCCCCCCCCCCCGGTTGCTACGCTCATAATCTCACCTTTACTTGGTTGGGAGACAAATGGAGCGCCAGTGATGCGTTAACTGGTACTTAGGAAGAAGATATCATGAAATGAGACCAATCAAGTCACTAAAACTGGGCATCGAGATCTTGGCTCATGCCTCTACGCAGCCCCGGGATATGTGGAAAAGCCGTACTCAACGAGTGACACTGTGTTGGGAGGTTGTTAGTGTTTGTCCATTTCCTTCATCTGAGTCACCTTGAAATACCTTTGCGATAAAAAGAGATGCATGAGCAAGAATGCGGGGGAAAGCAAGCTTTTGTGTCACTGTGAGCTTTTTGCCCACATTTGGCATCAGGTGAAGCTCCCATTGTCCGACATCTGATGAGTATTAATTTAGTTACAGTTGAGTCTTACAGCTAATGTAATATTCTGACCAGACGGCTCCGGCTGCTGACGATGTCTCGTTTGACCTTGAAAGTGTATTTGCCTTTGCAAAGCGGCCTGAGCACGTGGAGAGGAACATTTTATACTGATTGTGAAGTCACGCATAATGTTTTGCCTTATTGCTGCCAGCAAACAAAAAAGCATTGGCTTGTAAAATTGGCCTTAGAAACCTCCAAAGATGAAGGTATGTTTCAGTGACCTAACGTGACCTTGGGCAAATTTGTGTTACAACACGTGATAAAGCGATAGTATCCTCACAGACGGCCGAATTTAGTACGTTGCTAATTATCCAAATTTTGCGGTCTTCGAAATGCTGGTTCTCGTCTGCCGAGGCTCAAGCGCATTCTTCCGCAAAGCTGGTTATCCAGCCCAGTGGCACAAACTTGGGAAGCAAGGGATTGTTCTGCCCGCGAGGATGTACTTGTACTTGTACTTGCATTCGAGCATGCACTATTGTGTAGACGGTGGTGAAGAAGCATCGCTTAAATGCGTCCGTCTCTTTGCCACATTCGCATGGGTACTGAGACACAGGTTCTGTCTTGTAGCATCGGTAGGCTTAATTACATCGCACATGGCAGCACACTGCCTGCAGCCGCCGACCTCTCGTCGGCCCGCCCCGTCCGCCGTCGGTCCGCAGACTCGATCCGCATGTTCAGCGGTAATGACGGCCAGCGTGGCAGTCCACGCCTGCCACTTCATCCCTCCCGCAGTTATCGCTGCTGCTGTGGCTGCATGCCATCAGGTAGCTCTCGGAGCCGGTGCAGTCGACGTCATCCATGTAGAAGTTTTCTGGCCCCCCGGCGCCGTACTCGGAGCAGCAGCGGCTTGCTCCCTCGCTGAAATATAGATGACGTGTTAAAGAGACTTAAGGCGACAATATTTGTCTCACAGTTGATCTGGTGATTTTTTACACATCGTCTTTCATGATGCTGGTTTGCTTTCTGCTTCGTTGTCTGGGGTGAGGGCTCGAACAGCTGAGGAAAATTCAGCTTCCCTGAAACCTTCATGGACATCTGGTAATCACTGCCTACCTAAAGAGAGTTATTGTTTGCGTTATTACATGGGACGTATAAGACCATATGGTCGTACCTACTTTTTCAGATGTGAAGGCTCATATGAAGTGTGTATCCCAAAGGCACCTTTCTCAAAACGTTCTCAAGCTTCAAGCACAACGTAAGTTCTGGTCTTTTCTTATGAAGAAAGC